GGAGTAGTCAGGCCTAGATACAATGTCGCCCAGTCCACAGCGATGTGGCACGTGCTGGTTAGGGGCTGCCCCCCCCCCCCCCCACCAACCCCGCCCCCATGACCCCATGGAACCCGCTGCCCCCCCACTCCTTTGTATCATGCCATGGTTTCGAGGTAGTACTGCAAACTACATGCATACCTTGCAGCTGATTGTCTCCCAAGTAGAGGTGCCGAAGGTGCCGAAGGTCCCCGATCTCCGGTGGCAATGCTCCTGCGGTGGACAGCTTTTATTTTTTAATGTGCATATCAAGAATATCAAGCGTGTTTTGTGTCTTGGCTTGCCGTCGATAAATATTTAAAATTTCTCCAGGTTTTTGACCGCACGGAGACTCGTGTCAGTCCATCTGCGGGACCAATAAAGAATGAAGCATGTGCGTGGTGTGCGTGCTCGCCGCGTGTGTACATCTTCGAGTGTGATACCATACCATCTACAACTATGATGAAAGTATACCACCCAAGCAAACGATCACGGTTGGTTGTTCACGGAGCGTTTTTTTCGAAATGTTCACGGAGCGGAGCGGTTAATCCGTAGCAAGTTCTTACTACGGAGCGGCTTGATTTCCTCCGTATGCACAGCACGAACTGCGCGAAAGCAGGCCTTGACGACGGTGCAGCGTGAGAAAAAAACACCGACAAATCAATCGCATATCCGTGCGTACTGAGTACCTGCGATTTCGTGCAGTACGTTGGGTCTGATAACATGGAAAGTTAATTTTTCTTGACTGTGGAGGCTGGGTGTGGAGGTCGCCCGTGACACCGCACGCGTCCTCGCTGCCAGAACAGTCCACACACGAACAAAAGGCTAATCAAATCATTGTACAAATAGTAAGGTGAAGGGGCCGTTGCCCACGTTGATACCTCCTCGACCTAATCGTCCCCTGCGACACGTGCCAAACAGCAACAGATAATTCCTCACTATTTGCCTCTCCCTCTCTCTTCTTAGAACTCGCCACGCCAGTATCAGGTAAAACCAGGCGCCTCATGCACTATTCACAAACTCACTATAACTACAAGAGAGGAATACGCCCAAATATAGAATTCGTTGCTGCACTCATGTCAGATTCGAACTCGAACAGCCACTCGCTCTCCCGTACACAACAAAAAAAAAAAAAACGCACGGAGCGGAGAATAGCTATTAGCGGAGAACGCAGAACCGCTCCACCGCCGCTCCTCTCTGCCCCGCCCCGCTAAGTAGAAAAAAATGCTGCAGTACAACCCCGGAAAATACCATGTATCTCGTCGCCAACCGATAAAACGGGTGGGGTTCTGAAAGTGTGTCAAAGGTAAAAGGGCTGTGCTGTTTTGTGCATGCGCTCCCGAACGATCGCTCACGAATGAATGAAGAAGACAAACTTACTAACAACATGATTGATGCCTCTCCAACTTGGCCTCTCTCGCGGTATTTATTTTCGGTTTCTATTCTTTTTAACCATAGACGGCTGGATCACAAGGCGGGAGACTGGTTCCTCCCCGCCGTTCACAAGAAAAAGTATGACAAGGAAGCAACCTTCTGCAACGATTATTATATATATATATGCGTATGCATGCGTGGTAATGTGCTCGTGACTTCCCCCCCCCCCCTCCCCGCCAGTGGGCAACAAGGGCGAGGGGTAGCCAAACCAACAGACTGGGCCAACCAAGGTACAGTAGAGGAACTATGAGGAGAGGGGATTCGATATTGACGAACATGGTACGTTGGCAACGGAAAGAAAGTCAGTCTCGAGCGGTTCAAGGAGGAGATATATATCTGGTGCTTTGGCGGAGAGAGAAGATCTGAATCTACCCAAAGAAACCAAAGTAAGTGTGACGCGGCTCCAATCGCATGCCGTATATATATATGAAGAAACAACAGATTGTCGGTTGTTACTAATATGCTGTCTGGGAAATCGTAGACATACAGACAGACAGGTAGCTTTTTCTGACGCTTATGAATTCATTGCTAATTAACCTGTCTCTGACGACTCTTTTCTATGATAGAGATGGATTCATTGTGTCAAAAAAAAAAAAACGCGTGCAAAGTCGGTCCAACTATTGCCTATTTACTGCATAGCAACGCGGCGCCGCCCCGCCTCCCTCTACGATCTATCTGTCAGTGGTCGTTCTCGGTGACATCACGAAGACAAGACAACAATTTGCCAACAATAAAAAAAAGCTTGGGTCTCCCTGGTGCTGCTGTCTGTTTGTGCACGTCGTGCGTGCGGCTGTTGTTGTTGCGCGTGCAACTCAAGGCCTGAGAAGGCGAGCGATGAACATAAGCACTGCTGCTGCGTGTCGTGTACCATAGGCATTCGGTATACAAAGCTGATATATCGAACACATCCACTTTATATTAGACTACAGCAGTTGTTGTTGTTGTTGTTGTTGTCTTCACATTTAAAAACCGTTCCGTTCTCTCTGCCTAGTACCTTCTTCTGTCCGTACTAGTCTAGCACTTGACGGGATCGATTCCCCCCGCCCGTGGTCATAGGCTAACTTACCCAAAAAAAGGTATACGAAAATGAAAATGTACTTCATGAAAGAAGAACGTTCCACCATGTACGTGTACCTTCGTCCACATGCATACTGCTGTACCACTGACCTTGCAGGTTGTTTCGGCGAAGGTCAATCAGCGTGACGCCTTGCAGTTCTGGGCCCACACCAACCCCGTCCCACTCTCCCAGCAGGCACTGCTGCTGCTGCTGCTGTTGCTGTTTCCCGTCCCCTCCAGCTGCTGCGGATGCCTCCTCCCACCCCAGCGCCTGGACCCAGGCCGGGCCATTCGTGCACCACCACAGAGCCGCTAACGCCTTCCTCTCCTTCGCCTCTGTTGTTGTTCACATCACAACCACACATCAACAACAAAGCAGTCAACACCACCATGACATCGTGGTACATAACAAGTACTGAATTTTTTACACAAAAAAACAGAGGCAAAGCGAGAGCAGACGGGCACCGGCAGCAGACAGAACGAAATTTCATGGTGGCACATTCGCTGCACTTGGACATAAAGAGAGAGAGAGAGAGAGAAACTGCCTTCGAGTGTCCAGTCTTTTCTCTCTTGGTCTGCGTGCATGATGGCAACCTGGAGAGAGCTGAACCGAGATCGTGTATGTCTGGTAACGCGTTGTTGGGTAAGCTCTGCAATCTCAGCAGCGACCTACACGCACGTATGGCGGAGGGACAGATAGCGGATACACACATAACACACAGGACCAGGACTGCTCCTGCGGTCTGCACACATACCATTGTACACAACACAGGTTGTTCTCAGTGATTCACAAAAAAAATGCCGTCCATCACACCCGGCGCACAATTCTCAATTCTGCACCGCCATCACCATATTGACACAAGACATACATCCCCGTAGCTCAGTGAGTCCGTCAGTCACTCACGCGACACCACACACAGACGAGATAGCTTCTCATTGGGGCACTTGGCTGCCAGAGACGTGTTCCGAAGATAGATGCGTGCGTACCTTGCTCCTCTTGTTGCTGCGCGGGCTTCGGCATCACCATCATTTCTCTGATGGACCACCACCAGCGCGGAGCTACAGCAGTATAGCCTGGCCTGGGCTGTACGCAGTTTCCCCCGCCGCCCCCTCTCGTTCTGTCTCTTGTCTCTGGCCTTGCCTGGGTCTGCCGGCAAAGCGTCCGTCCGGTGGTGACAAGGCTCGATCGTCCCCTCGAGTGTTCCGTGTGCAAGGAGTGCTGGAGGGTGGCACTCGTCGCCAGCAAAAGATGGTTGACAAGTTGACGACAGCGGCGCACGAGCTCTCACAGCACTCAGCGGATCTTTGCGGAATCTGCAAACAGCCTGTCCTAGGCTACGCTGCTTGCTGTCGTTCGCACGTCCTCGTTGAACCAGAACACGATAGCTTTGATGTGAGGCCAGCGCGCCCGACCTTCTTGTAGCTGCTGCAGGTCGGCCAACACACGCGTGCGTGCCAGCTAAGAGGGCGTGAGGTTGTTGTTGCTGCTGTTGTATAATGGCGCTTGTGTGTGTCACAGCTCTCTTATAATCATCTGCTGCATACCGCATGTTCCGACATGGAGACCACCAAATCCTACAGTTCCTCTCCACAAAAAACTGCCGGATCTTTCTACACATCCCGCCGGCCAAGCGGGCTCCCTGCCGCCAGCTAGCTGCAGAACGTAGAGACCTTTTGGTCACGCAAGCCTCGAACGCAGAGCGCAGCTTGCCACCAACAAGGCGGAAGGCTGGTTGGGAGGAGCAAGGCGTGCCCTCCGAGTCCGATTTGTCGGTACCCTCGTTGTCAGGAGCGCCTTCTGTGGACGCGATGTTCTGCCGGAGCAACCTTTGAAGAGCGAATAATGTTGTGTCGTTCATCGTGGATGTGCAGCAGTAGCTGCTGGGAACTCGGCCACTGCAGCAGCTGTTGTACCTGCCCACACCGCCACCATAGAATAAGCAACAGGAAGGAAAATCATGTGCACTGCACCATCGCGGCAATACAAGTCGGTCTCCACGTCTGAGCGCGTTACAGACGAAACAAAGACCTCCAGAAACGATCATGGGTCTACCTCCAAATAACTATTGCGAAAACCGGGTGTAGGAACCCTCGCCCATTCGCCCCACCTGTACTACTGTGCGGTACAGAGAGTCTTAATACGAGGACCTGATTCCTCCTTCGGCGAGAGGTGTAAATGGCAGGACAGGCGACCAAAGCTGGCCGTGTGCACAACCAGCGATCACCCTACAAAGAGAGTAACCGATCCGTGAAAAGGTGAAAAGGTTGCGATTCTCCAACGTTGATAAACGCCTTACGGACCCCTCCCTGTTTTGAACAAGTGTCTGCGACTCTGCGACCCTTCCCAATTTTGTAGTCTGCCATCGTTTTGTTGGTTGTGCGATTCTCTCTCCCCTCCGCGCCGAACCTTCAGCCACGGCAGAGTGAGAAAATGGGACACTAAGCGACGATACGCTTTTCGGTTTTTTCCAAAGGCGCGACAAATAACAACAGCATGTGTACGATCATCATCGTCTTCCGCGCTGGTTGGTAAAGATACAAGCAACTATTATAAGCGAAGTTTCACCGCTCCTGTTGGTGATGTTGGTAATTGGTACATAAGGTGGCGGAGGTACAACTCACTGAAAATACTACCTACCACATCCCGTTCGACTGCTGTAGGTATATCTCGAATGGGTTGTAGTCTTTCTGTGTGTATTTATTTTTCCTTGATTTCCGGAGAGGTCGAGATGAGTTTCTAGAAGTCCACCGAGATTTTCATTCGTCACTACAACTATATAATCTCTTGCGTGCTGGTTGACCAACCTGCGAATGAGGTGGTACGGCGTACACAGCTATAGCATCAGTCCACCAGCGCGTATCCTTGCTTATTGAGCACAAACCCCAACTTCGAGAACCGGAAAAAACTTGCCCGTGGAACCAATGGGACGAGACACAGCAAAAGAAAAAAGCCAAAGGGCGTGCTCTTTTCGTATCTGGGAAGAACCAACGGAGCCTGGCGCCGGAGCGCCGCACTAATAAATCCAACCCTGTTTTTTATGAAGGGCGAGAAAAAAAAACCTGCAATAATATCATCAGACACCCAAAAGCAAGGTGGAACACCGCATGGCCCAAAAGCAGGGTCGCCGCCGCAGAAGCCGAGCTACCCCCCCCCCCCCACCAACACTATCGAAACAACAGCAGGGTTGTCAGCCCCCGCCCCGCTCCATTATGTCCACAAAGTCTACTAAAACCACAACAAGAATCAACGGCGCGGCCCGACGCCCATATCGCGCCTCTCACGGATGTAGTTCCCGGCCCCCCTGCCGCCGTAGCCGCCTCTTCCGCGCCCCCCTTGCCCCCCCTGATAACGGTTGTTCGCCGTCTGCCCCGGGCGGTTGTACCCTCGGCCCCCTCCCCAGTCACCGCTGCCGCGCCCGCCGCCGTCCCTGCCGCCCCTGCTGCTGTCCCCGCGCCCGCCGCCCCCCCGGCCGCCGCCACGTCCGCCGCCACGGCCTCCGTCGTCTCGGTAGCCGTAGGCCCCGGTCCTCGCGTCGATGAGCCGCTCGTTGCTCTCCACGAGATTCGCCGCCTGTGGCGTGAAATGAACCGCAGCAGTAGGGGAGGGGGGGTGTACTCATAGTCGTGCATGCCGTAGTCATTGGACCATTGACCTCGCATCCCTACAAAGCCGGGACGGAGCACGCCGGGTTCTCACCGGACCAGGCTCTCACATCACCAAGCGCGAAGCACCGTGAGGTATTTGGCGAGTCGCATGAAGGGTGAGCTGCATCCTGCTAAGGGTGTTCGGCATTTTGTGCTTACTTCCTTGCGTACGGATGACAGCTGCGTATGACTTAATTTATTTTCTGGTGCTTTCACTTCCAGAGACAGTTGTAAGCACTGTTTAACTGCCTCGAGGGTGCTTGACCAATATTAACACAACGTGGTGCGATCATCCCCCGTTGCGCGGGGTGAGGGTTCTCGACCCCGCACAACATGATCTACTCGACCACCATTATGGTTACCGCCAAAAAAAAAACCGACGTAAAAAAAAAAAAAAACGGTAACCTGGTTGCCGAGTTCACGAAGTGAATTGGCTTGTTTTACAACGTCGTTGCTAAGCGATGAAAACCCAATCCCGATGGCAAACACCGAGCGGGGGGGGAAACTTGGTTATCGTGCTTGCATGAATACGCAGTTGAGTTAATGACGTGGCAGTGCGAACTAATAAAAGATAGCACACGGGAGGGGGGGAGGGGGCACCCTCACCAGCGACAGCTAGGACCACCCGATTCTTAAGGCTCAACAAATAGGTTTTGCCATTCTCTTAGCGGGCCGGAGTGTGCAACGTTACGCGGCACTTACACGCCACCAATACAACCGAGGACCATAAGAGAACGAACACAAGAGCGAGCAAAGCAACCCGAATGCGCGTGTGTCGAGGTAGACTGCTTGTTCAAGGAAGCCGCTGCCAGTCCGATAGGTGAACAACAAACACACGCTTTTAGAGCTCAGGTCCAAACAATTCCATCGAACAGCTTACACTGCAAAAACAAAGGAATCGAGACGGCCGGCGGAAAGGACGCGGTAGTAACCGATCACTCAGCTAGAGTTGGGCCACACGATTTATTCAGGCTCATTATATCATATTGCCATCCTCGTGATCGGTACCATGCAGTCTCTCTCGTACACATGCCAACAAGCCTCGTCCGACTATGAAAAAAAAAGTCACAGGATAACCTCCATTTGCTTTTCTTCCAGCGTGAGCTTACTGCGTACGATGTAAACATGTCTGAAGACAGATAGCCGACAACGACAATGTTACGATTTGTCAAGGGTAAAATAAAAATAGGGGGGCGGCGCGGGGGGCGGGTAGGCTACAAGCAGCAGCGGTACACTTTCAAGCGCAGAACCGATCACTCAGCTAGAATTTGGCCACACGATTTGTTCAGGCTCATTATATCATATTAGTTTGCCATCCTCGCGATCGGGTTCTCCAAGTGTACCTATTAATACCTAACTCTCGAACGAGTCTCAACAACATCAGAAGCTCAACACCCAAATTGGAACAACAGAGAGTGAACGACACCGGCTACACCTTGCTGACTTGCAAGCCGGCAAGCCTTATGACACTAAAAAAAGCAACAATGGTCCAATGAGATCCGATCGCGTGACTACACTGGTGGTCAAGGGCTACGAGACCTACAACCACCCTTCCTGGAGCTGGTTTTTCGCGGATTTCTCAATGGCATGGCGCATGTCCGCTGTCGGCTCATCGTCTGCACCACGAAATTCGCCGTCTTAAGCGCGACAAAGACGACACAACGTCAATGACACGAGAGGCATGCATGCATGAACCGCGCAGGAGGTCTTCTTCTGAAAGACACACCATGCCCCGGATCGGCAGTAGTCCAGTAAGAGGACCGAGGCCATCACGCGGCTGGGAAGGCCAACGGATTGTTCAAAAATGCGATGGAAAAATCGAAACAACAACGTGCGAAAACGAAAAAAGACGAAAAAAAAATATGTGCTGTGCATCTACCTTATCGGCGAACTTGAGCGCCAGCAGCTGGAGAGTGTTCGGGTCCTCCTTCCGAAGCACCACGGTCTCCGTGGGCTGGTCCCAGCTGCCGTACAGCTCGTGGCTGAGCATCATCTTGCTGATGATGGAGTGGGCCTTGCTCTTCTGCATGTCGAACATCTCGCACAGCGTCGGCAGGCTGAGCGACTCGTAGTGCGGCGAGTACGTGAAGAGGTACGTGCGCAGAGCCTCCACCTGTCGACGGGTGACCAGACGATTCGTTTGGTTTTGAATTTCGGGGAGAGGGTTGGTTGGTTACCATAGGGGCGTATTGCAGGGTAGCGGTAACAACTTCCGGGGGAACAACAGAGTCGCCACATGGGGCTGTTATTTCATGCATCCTGTAGCCGATATCGGCCGATGCAGAGCACCGGCGACACTCGCCAATCGATGCCAGAGAGACGACCCATCACTACACCCATCGCCACAGGCACCGTCACAAAATCACCTTCACCATCCGCCCACGCTATTAGAGTACGAATAGAGACGCGTCCCAAAAAATGCGGGCAGGCCGTGTTGTACGAAGTACGGCGGCGTGTGGTTACCTGGATCTTCTCCTTCACCATAACCTTGACGAGCTCGGCGCAGCCTTCCCCGGGGATCAGGTTCCAGACGTCCAGCCTGCACGAAAGAGGAAAAAGGTTTCGACCGACACGGGAAGACAACACATAACAACGATTCGCAGACGCGGCATGGTACTAAGCTTGAGTTAAGATCACCGGCGCCGTCTTGGGCATGTATATGTACACAGCTTTCCTATGCATACGGCAAGTCAACGTAGGACCAATCCACAAACACGTGGCTCGGAGCGGAGAGATGAACGCGTCGGAAAAAAACGAAAGCTTTCCTTTCGAGTGCAAAACGAAGAAAAGACAGACACGAGAAAACATCCCGTGAGGTAACATCGGACCCAACGCGAATTTAAACTATTGTGTGCGACACACAACACCAGCAGCAGCAACACGCGACACACGGAGCCACGACAAATGTGCCCCCTATTAATAGCCAGTATCGGCACAACCCCTGCTCCGTAAAAATAGTGACGATAAACACAAACTAGGTCTGGTGTTACAGGGCAAGTACCCCGCTGCTTACACGAAACGCGCAAAACCTTTACGGAACGGATTCACTCTGAGAGGCAGCGCACCGGGAAACAGGGTCTTCCAGGTGAGAACGTGTGTAAGGGAAAAGACAACAGGAGGAGGAAAAAAGAAGAAACGCCGGCAGCGCAAGAAAGTGCTTTACTTACCCCAGGATGAGGTCTGAGCAGCGCTTCCAGTCGCCCTCCATCAACCTCTTGGCGGCGGCGATCACGTGGTCGCGGATGTTCTCCGGGGGGCCAGTGAACACCTTTTCACGGCAGGGGGGGGGGGTATGTTGGCGTATCACTCACTAGAGGATGATCCACACCGGGTATGAATACAGTACCAGGAACATACCCGAGAAGGAAAAGCTAACAGCGTACAGCAGTAGTGATATAAAATACGCCAAATACGCCAATCAAAACCGCAGGCTACACATGTACGGACATTAGAAGGTACTGAGCGGAGACGGGAACGGTTTTTAATGTGAAGACAACCACAACAACAACAACAACACATGCCCCCAATAATACTCAAGACCAAAATGGAGAGCGAGAACACCATAAAACAAAATACCTGGCGGTTAAAGATGTCTATGTAGCGGCGGAAGTGCTTGGACATGACCCGCCGGCGCAGCTCCGTCGACTCCTGCGCCATGTTCGGCACCTCCAGGAGCATGGCGCTCGTGAGGTGGCAGCACTCAAGGAGGTCGAGGTTGATGTGCATGTGGTACGGAGTCTGCCTTCGGCGCTCGGCCTTCTCCTGCTCAGGGTTCTTGTCCTGCACGTTTTTTTTTTTTTAAGTCCCAAACATTATTACCGCAAATAACGAAACGAGAGGCGCTGTCAGAGTCATCGAGCAGGGGTTGCTTGCTCAACGAAAGGGGCCGGGCCGGGCCGGGCCGGGCCGGGCGCCTACGGCGCACGTTAATGGGGTGAGGGGGGGTCCGGTGCTTGTACTTCTCTTGTGTAGTACCTCCTAGATGAAGCAACTCGGATCGAGGGGAATCAAGGCCGTGAAGAACGGTTACAAACAACAACATTTCGATTTTAAAAACGACCAATTCCGAGGCACGGTGCCCCCAACCTCTTCAACTGAAGCACGACGACGACAACAACGCGAAACAAAAAACGAATTCTACGCCCCCCCCCCCCCACCCCCCCCGCGCGCCCAAGCCACCTCCGTCGCATCATCTCTCTCACCTGGAACCGGTTCATCTGCACGCCCTGAGCCAGCAGTTCCTTGACCCTCGAGGAGCAGACGTCCCTCAGGCAGTCGTGCGCGTCGTGGATGAGCCCCTTGCGGAACGCGCACAGTCCCAGCGTCACCATCATCCGGTTGTAGAGGATCTGCGTCGAGATGTCCGCCTGGCTGATGTTGTCCTGCAGGTGGCTCATCAGCAGCAGGTCCCGGGCCGGGTGGAAGCGGTCGTGGAGCGCGTGGTGGGTGATGTGGCAGAGCATGGCGCGCGTGCGGCAGCGATCGTCGCCGTGCTGGTAGACGGTCACGCACAGGTTCTTGAGCTGCTCCGTGTAGTCCGCCTGTGTAGCAGCAGCAACAGCGGTCAAGGGGTACAGGGATCAAGGGTTTGCCCAGGAAGCATGTCAAGTAGTGGCGACAAACGAAACGGACGACAAAAAATCGGAAAAAAAAAAAAGGCGGACGCGGGCGAGGCGTGTGGGTGGGCTACTCAAGAGGGTCGTGGCCCTTGGTGACGCAACACGGAACATCGACGCCAACAACAACAACAACAAAACACACGACAAAAATCGCATGTTTCGAAAATCCATCATCGTAAGCTCTTTTGTCTCTACAACACCGTCAATAAACTTAAACAGCTAAAAAAAAAAATGCTATTCAACCCATACAGAGAGAGAGAGAGAGAGACAAGACAAGGGGAAACGCACGTATTCATGGCGCAACAGCAAGCAAGCCGGACGGAAAAAAACGTTATCTTTCGAATAAAAACAAAAACTACCAAATGATCATGTCCGCCGTGAACAAATTTGAAGCTCAAAAAGACCAAAGAAACGTAAACGCACGCCAAAAACGACGTTACCGACGAGGACACAACAAAACACAGACGACGACGGGGGAAACAAACGCACGTATTCATGGTCCACAGACGGCTGTCCGAGGAACGCCCCGGGGTGGGCCTTGGTCACGTCGAGGGCGCCGTCGGAGGGGGCGGAGGCCGAGGCGACCGTGCAGGCCGGGTGAAGGTCCTCCGTCTTCCCGAACTTGTTGGTGAACGACTGCGCCTTGTGCACCGCGCGGGCGATGGACTCGTGCTGGTAGTACAGGTGCTCGGCCTGCGTCGAGAGTTTCGAGGGCGGTCGGCGAATGGGGTGGGTGAGGAGAAGGGCGTCAAATGGGGTGTGTATCGTGCATGCCGTAGCCGTTAGACCAATGACCTCGCATCCCTACAAAGCCGGGACGGAGCACGCCGGGCTCTCACTGGAGCAGGCTCTCACATCATCAAGCGCGAAGCACCGTGAGGTGTCTTTCCGAGAAGTCTTGAGTGCAACAACAACCACAACAGAGGAAGCTTCACGAGAGGATTTCGACAACAAAAACAGCAGCAACGTGGAAGAAGCGCAACACACACAGGCGACCGCTTCTTCTACTTCAACCAGTCGCCGTTCAGCGCATCGACAAAATTTGTGAGAAGACCCGCTTCACCCTCTCGCACAACGGCCCCATCGGCGGCCACAACACCAACCCACGCCAAAAAAAAAAAAAACACTCCCCGAACACACACATGGCCTTTAGAAGCACTTTGTGTTTTCAACCGCACTGAGACTGACGCCTTTTCATTGGTCAGCCGGCTAGCGCGGTCGATGCTAACAAAAAAGACACACACAAGCACACACCTGCAGGAGGGCGAGATCCGCCACGACGCTCATCTCCCCCTGGCGCTCGTAGTACGCCTGCACCTTGGCGGCCAGGTCCACCACCACGGACTCGTCCTTCAGCCGCCGGATGTACTCCTGCGTGTGCGGGTTGATGTTCTGCAGGGACTTGGTGTACTCGTCGCCCAGGCGGATCATGTACTGCGACAGGGACCCGACCACCTTTAGGACACCCGTCTTCTCCACCTCGGCGAGAACATCGGCCACCTTCGAAATATTGGGGGGGGGGGGGGGGGGGGGGGGGCCCCCCCAATTTTTTACCCCCCCGGGAAAAAAAAAGAAAAAACCTTTTTCCTTTTCCCCCTTTGGGGGGCCCCCCCCCCCCCGGGAAAAATTTTTTCCCTCTTTTTTTTTAAAAGGCCGCCTCCCCTTTTTTTTTTCCCCGGGTCTTAAAAAAAGTTTTCCCGGGGCCACCCTTAAAAAAAAAGGAATCCAACCAAATGGGGGGGGGGGGAAAACCCCCCCCCCCCGGAGGGTTTTTTAGGGGGGACCCCCAAAAACCCCACCCGCCCTGTTATTGGAAATGTTTAAACTCCTTGGGAGAAAAAAAAAAAAAAGGGGCTCGGGCCCCCCGGGCCCCAAAAAAAAAACACGGGGGGT